CGGAAGAAATCGAAGTCCGACCCGAAGCAATGCTTTTGAGCCGACGCATCACGTTCATTTTCGCTTACCCAGAGCCACCAGCAGAAACCCTAATCCCCAAATTCTTCACCACCACTTCACAGGGAGAGAGAAAGAGAGCGACAGGAATCAAAGGAAAAACAGATTCGGATATTCAAATTATCATCCGTCTCAGTCCGTCCCCTCTCTTCTCCTCTCCCCTCCACCTGAAGATCAACGATGAAGAAGCCCCCAAAAACCAGCGATTCTTCAAACAAAAGAGGAGAAATTTTCTCTCTCCCTCTCCCCCTTGGGCCTTCGTTTTCTCTCTACAGAGGCCAACCAGGTGGAATCTATGTTCTCTCTCTCTCGTGGTCAAAACTAATCATGCCAGGCTCGTTGTTGGCTATCTTCCGTGCGCTCTCTCGGTTGAACTTTGATCCACCGCCGTCGATTGATCCCAGAAGTTCATCCAACGGACTAAGATGAATCCACCTGCTTTCGACAAGAAGATATTACCAAAGTAGCCTTGAGATGGTGTGGTATTTACGGATCCGGGGATTATTTTGCCAAGATGGGAATGATTGGTGGATGAACGCGCTCTCTGCGGGGGAAGGTTTGACCACTGCCTCTCTTTTTTTTTTTTTTGAAGATGATTCAAAAAATCCCATTTTAAATTTATTTTCTTTCTGAAGTGAAAATGTTTCCATTAAAACAGATTTTATTAACCCTAACTTACCCAATACGAGAATAACAACGAGTCTTCTTCAACTTGATTGAATCAGAGAATAAGACAAAAGAGGATAATTTAAAACATTAAAAAATTAAAATAAAATAGGCCCAAAAATTTTGTAATGGGCCATAATATTTGCTTATTCCAACCCAATCAGTCAAGAAGAAACGACGACGTAATGACCGCTGGAGGTCTGTAGCGGGGTGACGTGTCATAGGAGATGGATCCCTCTCCTCCCCTTGGGATCACATACAAGTCATGTTAAGTAATCAATTCAAGAAAGATCACGTCGTCGTGCTTTTCGTATTTTAGATCAACCAAACAATTCAATTGTAATAGTAAATGAAATAATATTTCTGTGAAACCTGTCTGTTCGGTTTCCCTCCCTATGTCCGAGGAGAAGACAAGAGGCATTCTTTTCTATTATCTTACCTTCTCTAGGTCTTTTGGTGACAACAAAAGCGATAAGGAGGGGGAATGCATGAACAATGGGAAAAAAGAAAAGAAAAGAATGGGCATCGATCTGTAAATAATTATGAATAGCACCAAAAAAGAGTAGGAAGAGGGAGGCAGTGGTCGTCCATCCAGGTTAAGAGATCTGGTCAGGGGCTGGAGTGGTCCAGTACTGCTTCACGGCATACAAGACCTTCTCCCTTTCAAGAGGCCCGCCCTCATGGTCCCCTATCCTCGCTTCCCACTGCATGCCGTCTGTTATCTCCTTCACTCTCACCAACACGTCCACATCATCTCTGATTATCACACTCCCCTTTGGTCTCAGGACCCTGTCCATCTCCAACAATATGTCCTGCATCTCGCATCTTCCCTTGTACAGACTGAACACCGAGTCTGCATGGATGAAATCGTACGTCCTCGGGTATGTTGACATCGCCTCGCACCTACAGCATAAAAAGAGCATGAGCGTACTTTTAAACAACAGAAAAACGCAGTTTGATGGCAGGACTCGCTTTTTCTTTTTTTTACCAGTTCTGATAAGTGCCGACCAATCCACGTTCATAGATAACACCTAGGGTGTTGACACTGGCCTCAACAGGGACGACGTTCATGACCCAGACGGGGTCATTGACAAGAGCAGCAGCAAAGCCACCGAGATGCGCATTCATGTCAAGTAAGTTCCTGTATCTCCCTCTCTCAGCTAATTGGTGGTCGAAGCGCTTGTAATAAGAGACCCTCTTCTCCCACGTCTCAGAGTTGCCTGCAAAGTCATCGGGGGTGATACCTTTCAGACTTCCGCTGCTGATCCTCGGAGGAACAACGTTTAATCTCTCGGGCCATTTAGCCAACGCTCCACCAGCTACTTCTTTGACGTTGGAGCCTGTCACTTCTGGCAAGGGTGTCAAACAGTCATCCAGCTTCGTGTACCTGGACACACAGACCGAGCAATGAAATGATGGTTTACTTACAGAGAGTAAAAAAAAAAAGGAGAAGATGATAGCGGAAAAGAGTAGAGAATGGGTACCAAGCGAGGTCGGGGTCTTGAGAACGGCAGAAGCGGGGACGACGGAGAGCGATGCGGTTGCGCTTGCAGTGAATGTGGTTGGTGGGCTTCTGCCAGATGGAGAGGTCGTCTTTCTGAACAAGTTTCTTCCAGCACAGGCTTCTGGCCACTCGCTCTATCTCTGTCTGTTCGGCGTTGAGATCGTCCTTTGTTCTCTCCCAACCTTTCCAGTGTCTCTGCCAGTTGATCGGAGGTCCTGACAGAATCCAGTATCCTCCCGGTCGTAGAACCCTATCCACCTCTATCAGATACGTCCCGTCTGTCAAAATATGCACCCCTTTAGAGTTAGACCAAAAACGTTTTCTTTATAGAAGGCGAGGTGAAGAAAAGCGTACTGTGTTGGGCCCAAGGGATGAGGCAGCGGGAGCAGTGAGCCATGTCGAAGGCCCTGGAAGGGTAAGGGAGCCGGATGGAAGCCATAACTCCGATAAGAGCAGGAACTCCTCTCTCCAACGCGAACTGAACCTGAGCTTCGTGCGTGTCTCTCGGGGCAAACGACATCGCCACTACATTCCTCGACATCAGATACGCTCCCCAGCTCGCCACCTGTCCCATCCGTCCATTCATTAGAGATCATATATATATGCTTTGTTGGGTAATAATCTAATCTAATAGGACTGCCATGTCATGTCATCTCATCAAAAACGACAATATCCTACAATTAGACACTGCATCCCAATGGGAAGAATAAGTGGAGCAGACGAAAAGACTGGCCTTTAACCACTTTGCTTCCATAATAAAATTAGATAAAATATTATTCAATGCACACAAACAGGCATCCGCGCATTTCTGCAAATATGTAAACACACACAGTCCATAAAGGGTATATGACTAGAGTTTCTTTATACATGGCTAGTCAGCACTAAGCCGGTTCGTATAGCAATTTTCCGAAAGATGGCATCTAATGGCCCAACAAACTGGTAAACTTTTTCTCTTATTTATAATATATATAAATAAATACAACCTGTCCTCTTTTTCTGTTACTCCTTATGAAATGGGGCTCTTAGGGAAACCTTGGCATTATTCTATTTCCGGGCTCTTGGTTTGGACAGACTACATGCAGCCTCCTTCCCTTGTATTTACTCAGATTTCGAATTAATCCCTAAACTCAACAGCCTTGGACAGCTAATTACAACTCAAATCCATTTTTGTCTTAATAAATTTATTAATTACCATATTAATTCCGATTTGTTTCCCTGAATACTAAAATCACATAATCACATCAAAACAATGTAACTGGAACAAAAAAGAATATTCATAATTAATGACAATGAATGGATTCACCAATCGAACCGATCACACACTGAAAACCCCAGAATTTATGAAAATTCACAAGTGGAACCCATGCTTCAATGTTGAAAGGAGAGAATGCCCATGAAAATCCAAAGCATCCAAACGAAGCCAGTAAAAAATATTCGAAAATCTACACTCAATATTCCTGTAAAAGACTGTTTTCCTTGTACACGGAATCAAATCCACGGATCAGGAAAGATGCAGAAGTTAATGACATCACAGGCATGGGATATGACGAACATACGAGCAAGTTGATCATGAACAGACACCGCAGGAGACAATAACAAAACAGACAAGGTATACGTACCCCACAACCAGTGTCGATGGCTGTTCGAATAGATCCATCTCTGAGATTGATGAGCTGCCCGATGTCGTCGATATAGGCATCGGCGCCACGAGGGAACATCGTGCCGCCCCCGGGGAACAAGAACCTGTCCTTCTCGTACCTCACCCAGTTCTGACTCTTCTTCTCTACCGTCAACTCCGTGTGCGGCACATTCGCGAACCATGCCACGTCACGGCTCTCCGGCCACCGGAACGGCGCCATGTACCCGTACGGCGCCGGAATCCTGCATCGGAGAATTTCCCCCTTCTCCGGGCAGTGACGCTCTCTGTATATTAGCCTCTCCCTAGGAAACGGCAGCGACCGGTTCACGTCCTCGCACGGCGTGTACTCCGACAGCTCCGCGTCGCACGCCGGGATTCGGACCACGCGTGCCGCCGTGGTAGGCGGATCCGGTGAGGTGTGTTGGGAGTCGAAGACCAGATGCGGTGGTGGGTGAGGCTGGAAAGTCGTACAGGCGACGGTGGAGGATTTGAACGAGCCATCGGTGGCGCGTGAGAATTTGCCGGGGGAGTTTTGCCAGAGGCCGATGAAGTAGCAGGCGGCGCAGAGGATGGCGATGATGGTTACGCGGTAGAGGTTGGAATGTTTCGTTCTGACTGACAGTTTCGAAATCCTCGCCGGCCACCGGAAGTTCGCCATGTCGGAGAAAGTGAAGCAACTTTTCCGGGAAGTTGAAGACGCCGGAAAACGAAGAGACGGGAGAAAATCAAGACTCAGAAGAAGTAAACCTTTTTTTCTCTCTGATTTTTGTGATTCGGGCGAGTCCTTATATACAGAGGGGGGAGATGCCGTTTCCAAATGTATCTTTCTTTATTTTATTCATAGTATATACATGTGTATATCGATCAATTAATATTCGGATTTTCGTCCTAAAGGGGCAAAATGCGGGATTTATTACATTGAAATCCCTTGTAATTTATGTTCCTCTACTGAGTAAATTACGAGTCAACTTCTTCTGTGATCAAAGGTTGTTTCGGCTAATAAACATACGTTGAGAACAGAGAGAGTGTTTTAAATTTACACACACACACGCATGTATTAAATGAATGTATACATACATATATATATATATATATATAAAATAAACAATTTTATTTACGAAGAATTATATACGAAAACACCCTGAGAATACGTTATGGGGGTGCAGTGAGAGATGGAGGTGTGGGGAGTTTTAATGCGTTGTCCCGTGTTTTCTCTTTTTTACAAAAAATTTCCTTGGTTAGCAAATTCACAATATTAATCTTCCTTCATTAGATTCCTTTTATCTAATGTTTGTTGGCAAATATGTATATAAAATGCGAAAGCGCGGTGTTTCCAACAAGACATGTGAGTGATGATACAACAGTCAGCACCAACGTACCGGGGAAGGCGGTTCCTTGGAAGTGTTTATCTTGGGGATCTATGCCATCACACTGTTAGTGACATTCCTGAAATCATCAAGTATTCAACGTATGTATTGGGCTTTTTATTGATGGGCCAGCAATACATGGGTTTGGGCTGCTTCTGGACTTAATAAATTATAATAGAATTCCAAAAATAGTTTTACCATTTCGTATAAATAATAAGAGTAATATAAAAGGTTACATTTGACAACCATATATAAAAGGTGTGTGTGTAAATGTTGATTTTAATTGAAAAAAATAACACTTGGGTAAGTGTTTACCTATTTGTTTTGTTTTTACGTGCTTTAGTTTTACCTTTTAACCTTTTTTTTTTTTTTTTCCCGAGTGAGGTTGTCTCGTGTCAATCATTTCACGGGGATTGTCATCATCATTGCGCCGTCTATATAAACTTGTCACGGAGCCTGCCCCTCTCTCTCCCGATCGACTCTTAGGGTAAATCGTTCTGTCCATTTTCTCTCTACGAGCAGAGGTAAAAAAAGGGTCGCTTGCTTTTTGGTAATTACGCTCTGATTTCTCTTACCCTCTTTCGTTATTCGTCTGTAACTCCTAGTTCTTCTTGAATCTCCTCCAATTATGGGTTAATTTCGCATGAAATCGTCCCTTCGTCTGTTTGAAATCGATCTTTGACGGAAACCCTAATCTTCGTTCGCCGTACTTGCAAGCGAGATTTCTTATACCTTGCTCTTGTGGTGTGATCTTAATTATGCGTTTCAATCATCGCAAAACTACCCAAATTCTAGAAATTCTTTTCATTTTTGTTGTATACGCTCTTTTTTTTTTGTCCAATGTTGAAAGGTTTGCATGCCGTAATGTGATCTGAGCGTCACTCATGTAATGTTTATATACGATAGAATGTGTTCGAAACGAAACCCCCATGGATGAGGCAAAATATATTCCGTAATTTTGCTTTGGTTGCTACGGAAATTCTTTGCAGTTTTGATGATAGTGAAGGTGGAGCGGCTTCCGTCTGTTTGGATTCTTAAATTTTCATGTTTTTGTAGGTTCTTCTATCCTATAATTGTTCGGATTAGCTGTGGGGATTCAGCAAGATCTCCAAACAGCATGGACTTTCTCAACTGCCTTGAAACTGACATGTCGATAAAGATACTCTCATGCTTGGATGATCCATCTGATCTTGTCCGTGTTACTGCTGTCTCACGCTCGTGGCAGGAGTTGGGTAAGCTAAGATTTGTGCCTGTCTGATGATTTTGTTATTTATGTCTTGTTCTGCACCTTAATTGCTTCTGAAAATGCTGATTCCAGCTCCTTTTCGTTGCTGTGTTTTAGTCATTTGGTTCGTCTACTATGTCATTGAAATTTTCGCAAAATGGTTTACGCTAGTTTTTGTGCGGCTTCTTGGTCACCTCTGATTTGAATTTGATCCTTGTCACTATAACAGATTTACTCTCTGGATTGGCAATTCGTTTTTGCTTTAGATATGTGACATTGTTCTTCTTCAAACTGTTTTGACTGTCTGCTGGAAATTTGCGTCTTGATCCTGAGTAGAATGCTAAATTAGCGCATGGGTTGCAGTGGTGAAATGTGGTCTGTGCAAGCAACTGTGCTTGAGAACGTTCCCTCAACTATCTAGGCTCGATCATGTTATTCATCCAAGTGATAGCAACGAAGAATCCTCGGAAGCTGAGTCTAGCAATCTCATGGAGTGGAGGTCATTGGAAAGAGATCACAAGGTTTACGCATTCTTGGCTAGAGCACGCTTGCCTTCTCCCGTTAAGAGCTGCATCTCTGAGGCAGTTGTAGCATCTAGCACCGATAATTTCCCAGCCGAAAGCATTTTCAACACACTTGAGCCTAGAGATCGGCTTGGTGCTACCCCATCATATTGGTCAAGTCAAGGACAAGAGAAGTCTTCGGTGCCTGAGACTCTTCTTTACAAATTAATGGGTGATGTGTGTGTCGTTACTGAGATCAACATTCAGCCTTTCAGAGGTAATATAACCGGGTGACCCTTATCTCGATTCATATGCTATTAATGGCTCTCAATGTTCTATGTTGGTTTCCCTTTTTTTCAGCTTATTTCCAGCGAGGATCTCCAATATACTCTGCAAATTATGTACGCTTTCGGATGGGTCACTATAAACCCTCTTCGGATAATTGGAAGACCGAGCCAGCGCACAGCGCGATTGAAAGCAACTACGTCTGGACATACATTTCACAAGAGTTTCCAATGGCTCAAGTGAGTTAAAATGTTAAAATCTTTACTCTTTTTTATGACTCAGCTCCTCTCTATTCGGTCCAGTCTCTTTGTCTTTGCCCTTGGTTTTCTTCAGAAGACTCATATTGTTGGTTCTTGGATGTTCTCGAACAGGAAAGCCGTTTGCAGAATTTCAAGTTTCCAGAGCCTGTTCTTTGCATTGGTGGATATCTGTTAGTCGAGTTACTGGGTCGGGTCCAGAGACAAGAAATGGATGGCTTATACTATATATGGTACGTCTCTATTTGAATCTTTTTATTCTCTGTCGTTGCCTACATCTTCAATCTATTGAGCATGTTCGTTTCAGTCGAAAATATAACTGAATATGAGTAACGTTTAATCTGAAGGATTGTTCTATCTTCTTAACATATGTAAAAATAAAAATTGGGCAGTGTGTCACATGTGAAAGTGATGGGAAGATCACTAGGAGGAGTGTTTGGAGCAGAGATTATGGATCAAACGGGGAAGTTTGCATTGAAGGTACTGAGTTATAAAGAGCCACAAGCGACGGAAGAGGAAGAAGGGCTTTCAGCAGAAGCAGGGGAAACACCAAATAGTAGACCACCAAGGAGAAACCTCCAGCAGCTTTTGAATTTTCTGCACAGGCATCCACTTGACGTTGATGAGTATGTTTGGGCTGAATCTGACGACGACGACGATGATGATGAAGAAGAGGGAGGAGGTGCTTTCTGATTAAACTTTTTTCGACTTTGCAAAGTCTGAAGAGTGGGCACCTCCTCTTGGGGTGTTCTTGGATCTCCTTCTCTCTTTAAAAAAGATTCCTTTTTTTTTTTATTTTACTTATGCGAGTCTGTTCTTGTTGTGACCACAATGCTGCTAAATACAACAGTAATATTATCATTATTATGCCTTTCCCTTTTGGTTCCTATCGTTTGCTGATTTTCATCAATGCCTCAGAAAACGGTTTGGGTGGGTTGTTGTAGGTGATTGACTTGAGCAAATGTCTTGTGTAAGGAAGGTGTTATTACTACAAAGAGGGTGAGGTTGGTCAGCTGACAAAACAAGTTGCCGACGAGGTTTTCTTTTTCTTTTAATACACAACGCCACGTCTTAAGAAAAACACTGAAGGAGCATTATTAGGTAAGGAAGGAACTCCCCTTCTCTTGGGCTGGGATCTCTCCTCAAGCAGCCTTGGCCTTTGGACGCGACGGCAGCAACTGCACGAGTGAGAGAGAGAGAGAGAGAGAGAGAGAGAGCAATGGGTCATCAACCATCTTTTCTTAAGCTTTACAAGAAATATTTATTAATCTTTCAAGTTTGGAGCAAAAGATAAAATACATGAAACTCAACCGCCAATCCATTGTGAATGTTACCTGATAGCAAGAGATAAGAGAGGAGGTGAATCCAAAAGCGCCGGTAACACGGGCATTTACTTTCTTTGGTGCCAATTGAAGTAATCCGACAGCTACAACTACGTCTATCCCTGCTTTGATCAGAGCCAACGTTCTCTCGTTGGATTTCTGTAGTTTTGCACGGTATTCCTCCTTCTGCAACAACTCAGAAATCATCACATGATGTTTCTCTGTGGATTTTATGGATCTAGTTTTGAGTGAGATAGAACCATTCCCACGGGCTTACTTGGTATTTATCACTCTCCTTAAGCTCCTTTTCTAACTTCTTCATCGATGCTGAGAGCCTCCCGATCTCCCCTATCTGATATTCACATGACCCCCCCCCCCCCACAAAAACCAT